ATCGCGGTCTGCGAGTGCCGTGTTATAGGAGGATTAACTGTATTACATACATACACATTAAAGGTTAATAAAAAGAAATTTGTAGTAACTTTGTTCCTTATTATTGCTGCGAACGTTCCGATTTAATAAAAAAAAAATCCTTTTTGTTATTTCGCATCTCATCGAATACACACAGCATCCGAAGAGGACTTAGGTAAAATCTCTTTATGCGATTTTTATTTTATATAATACGCTTGAATAATAAATTCTAGCGAGTTCTTATTTTAATCGGTAATAGTTATATTTCCTGTTTAAAAACGCTCGTCTCTCTTTACAATGCTATTTTTTCTAAACACGCGAGTAAAAACGCTGCCTTTTTTATGCTGCTACATAGTTACATTTGGAATTTTAATTTAAATTTCATTGAGAAATAACGAATACGAGATTAACGTGTTTTCCCCTGTACATGTGTGTATGTGTGTGTGTGTGTGTTATTCTTTTCTTTTCTTTCATTTTAACCATTTTTTAAACGCCGCATGAAAAATGATGATAGAATACGCTTTCACACTAATTACAGCCGCTTGACAAATGGAAATATTGGGTGATCCGAAAGTTCTCTTGGCTAATTTTAAAAATCAATTATTCTTTTTCATGATTTGAATTCAACTTTATTTTTCTTCGGATTGTTAAATTATTAAAAGTAGATCTAGAAACTTTTTAACAACCCGAAGAAAAAAATAAACCTATAAGTTTATTATACTAATTAATAATAATAATAGTAACTATAAAAATATTTCTGTCAGCAATATGTCGCAAAGTTATACGAAGCAACTTTATTTTTTCGAATACTTTGTTGGCGCTCTAATTTTATTTATCTTTAACAAACATGCGCAAAACTAAGAAGCGTAAAATTAGTAGAACATATTTGCAATAAGTAATATAAATAAATATTATGCATGCGTAAATTATTAATGAGTAGAAAGAGAGAAAATTCGTTTGAACATAATCAAATATAATACGATCGATAATTCAAAAGATTTAAAAAAAAATCAATTTTTTATAATTTAAGTATATAAAATTAAAACCATCATGGCGGATCGATCGCTAGAAATATGTGAAATTTTTAAATATTTCATTTATTAATATTAATTCATAGTAATTATTTGTGATAAAGAATGTCTAATGCCTGTTAGAACTTATTTAACGAAATTTCTAATAATTTTGTGAATTTTCTTTAGCTGGAGTTGATCGTCCAACGAGAACCGTGTCTTTGAAAAGTGATCGAGGATCAAGAAAATTTCAATCCTTAGAATTGGATACCGTTGTCGAGGAACGATCTGATCCTGAACAAAGTACTGCATTGGAATTGAGTAGTCCTGACTAGCATACAATATTGGCACCACCGAGGTTATATTTTATTTTATAATATTTTCATTCTATATATATTTAATAATAATTAAACTTAATATATAATTAAACAATTTGATATAGTTTTAATTTGACGTGATACAATTAAATATTTATATTATTATTAATTGAAAAACACAAAATTATAAAAATAATTTTGGCACTAAAAAATACACGCCATGTTAATGGAACAAGAAATCGAGCCCAGCGATTGGTTCGTGCTTACACCCAATAAGATACGTCATTCATAAAAGTAAGAATTACCGCGAATTATGATTAAGTTTGAATCGATGAAACTTTAGAAACTTATTCTATTTCTTCGTATCAAAATGAATTTTAATTTTGACACAATAATATTATAAATATTTATTTATAAAATCTATATTTTATTTTTTTACAGATCTCCTAGATTATCCAAATCTTTAGCGGTGCCTATAGATCATAGCCCCCTATGGACAGCTTTGACTCAAGCTAATACGGTATCTGCTAACTTTGGAGATACCTAGCAGGAAATTGAAGACGAGGGAAGTTACATCCAAGCTCTCGTCCTTGATCTGCCAATTATTTATTAAACTACGCTTATATCCACAATGGAGGACATTTTTCTCAAAAATATTCAACTAGAAAATTTCAACAAGACACTTTTTCGTATTTGGAAGTGTGTTTTAAATCGTAGAATAGTAATAATAATAATAATAATAAAATTTAATTGTAAGATTTATAAATAAGCTTTGCATATGAGAACAAGAAAATATATAAGAAATTAAATTTTATACAGAAACGATCATCTATTCCTGATGTCTTGAAACTAAACGTAAAGCTTTTTACATGTTAGTAATAATGATAATTAATTTAATATACATATATAAATATTTACTAGATATTGTTAATGTGTAAATATAACTTTGCTAATATATTACGTAAAAGGTAAAGTTATATAAATAAAGAAAGAACAAAAACAAACAAGAGGATTATAATTAAAGTCTGTATAAAGAAATTATACAAAATTTTTTTCGCTTTCCTTATCATTCTGTGATTTACGATTTATTTTAATAATTGAATGTTCATCAACGAAGATCATAAGAAAATATTAATATTGGGTCTTCGTCTTTAAAAATATTTACATAAAAATGATGTTATTGTAACAAAATAATTGATACATGATACTAAAAATTAATATATCAATGGTCAGCATTTGAAAGAAACTATTTATATGACACTTTTTAAAACCTATGTAAGTTTCTTTAGTATTTCCTATCAATGCATAGATATATATATACGCGTTATATCACATTGACTTGAAATGCATTTCGATAATAAAAGAAAAAAATCTTTTCTCATTTAATTGTCTAATGATAAGTTTACAAAATTATACTTAAAACCCTGGTATAATCCTTCCTTTTTTAGAAGCTTTTTTAAGCTTATTCGTCTTCTTCTCTTTTTTCCTTTTGCTAATATTATCTTGTCTTTTATCTTGTCTTTCTTGTTTAGATTTCTGTACGGATTCTAATCTGGATTCCCACTTTTTGGAATTCCTCTTCTTTTGGAGTTCTTGTCGTTTAATTGTACGTTTCAGTAAATCTGGATCATCTTTAACCTAATATTTTCACGCATATTATTTACATGTTGTTAATATTCTATCTACATACTATTTACATGTTGTTTATTTTAATATTAAAATATCCATTAACACATTGATGATGATATTCTATGATAAGTATAACAGTTTCTTATTATTCATGTATAAACATCTTCATTGCATTTTGCTGTAAGGTATTCGTATCATAACTCTAAATACATCGATAAGTGTATATTGTGTGCTTGCAAAATATTTCGATTTCGTATAGCTTAATTGTAATTTTACTTTTATACATATGTGACACGAATTAGCATTTTCCATCAGCAATGTGTTAATAAGGAAATTAAGTATCAGTAACCTTTTCTCCATTAGCCCTTGCGAGTGCAGTTTTCCAAGCTTCTTTTTCTTTTATTTCCTCAACTTTGTCCTTTTCACCGGACTGTTCTAATTCCTTCAATTTTTCACTTTTTTGTTGCAATTGTTGAAGAATTTTCTTTGGATCTTTCTCACTTTTCAAAGATTTCTTTTTTGTTCCAATCTCTGAGAAATCAAATTTACTAAAGACCATCTTACCCTCGGAATTAAATACAGGTTTAGGTTTATGAATTTTGGGCATCCCATTAGTTTCAAGATTAAACATTTTTGAACCAGCTGCTTGCTGTTCTATTCTTACTAACTTTTTCTGCATTAAACGTTCCTCTTTTTTGGTTTTCTTTTTAATTTTATTCTTTAAAGTTTTTTTCAAAAGCTTCTGTTTGTATCCCAATTTTTTCACATTTTTTAATTCCTCTAATTTTGCGTGTAATTCTTCGAAAGACCGAGCTCGCGTCGTCGTTTTACCTGGAACTGTTAATATATTTCAATGTAAATATGAATAAAGAAGAATATCATTTCAAAGTAATAGAAGTTCATCATATAAATAATAAAAACCTCTTGTTTTAATGTTGTCTCTTTCTTCCTCGTTTTCATCTTCATCTTGATTGGCTATAATAAAAGAAAACATATTAAAACATAAACGATTTTTAATATAAAACATTTGCATATAAATACATACTGCACTTTTTAGGTTAAGTTCTTTAAAAGATATTCTTACCTAACTCAAACATAGGCATAGGTATTTTCGAATATATATTTGAAATAAATTGGTTTTCTTCGTAAAGTAATTCCTTCACTAATTTTACATTAAAAGCTTTAGCCATTTTTAATTGCATATTCTATAAACTCACGTGTAAACCTTACAGTTGTAATACAGGTAAAATAGTTGCTACTGCACTCACATTTCAGAGTTTCTAAAAATATCGAGAATGTACGCAGCGCTCCCATGCGTACGTTAGAGAAATTATTCCAAGAAAACACGTGCAATGTCTTCTAAATTATTCTGTATATTGATAAATGATTATTTTTTAAATATAATATTACGCCGATATAATTAAATATATTTATTTATTTTTATTATATATTGTAGATTGTTTTTGTGCATAAATTTTATACAAAATTATTTGAATCGATCTTATCGTATACATAATAGTGCCCAAATTGAAATACTTTTTACAATGTTAAAAACTTTACATCATTTTATTGGTATCGGTAAAGTAGACTTCGTCTATTAATCTGTGGTTTTTTAATACAATAAAACAAACCCATTGTAGATTTTTTAAATTTCTAAAACTTCCTGTGATGTTTTTAAATAAACGTAACAGTATATTTTACCACTTTCCAGAGTTGTTCTCATTAATAACACTGCTATTGGTTTGTAGTTCTCAAAAGGATGTAAGATATAATGAATACCAAAATTTTTATGCGCATTGGCAACAATTATGCTTTCAACAGGAATAATTTAAGAGTCAGTTGAATTATTGTGTTTAGTGACTCGATAAGATTAGGAAACTTAGTAGTCTCATCGTACATAGTTACATATTGACAATTTAAACTATCCGTCTCATATTTTTGAAACATTTCATATATATGAATTGAAGAATTTCTTAGCCTTTGAAACTCTTTGATGATAATTTGATTACAAATTCCTGATAAGTATTAAAATATGCTTTAAAAAAGTTACATTTAAAAATGAATTACTTTCTATCGTTGTCTATACAATGTTAGCGTAAAGATTTTTTACTTTTATGAAAATGATGACCGATATTAAAATAATAATACTATAAAAAGAAAGGAGAAATATTAATTTTCACAAAGAGGTCAAGACAAATACTAAAGAAATACAATCAAACTTTGGATTAGGAGTAACTTTGTTTACGAGTGTTCTGCAAGACGAATAAAAAATATGAGCATATTCGTACTAGTGAGTAAAGTGCGGATTAATTTGTTTAATTTTTACTTACATTAGTAATTTGTATTTTATATCACATTGATTGCATGAATAAATAATTATAGAAAAATTTATCTGACTTTTCATTACATATGTATTTCTTAGGACACAATTTGTTTTGATATACGAGTGCTGTAAAGTGTATTTACAATTTTCCTACTTTTAATTAAACACATTCAACCTTATCGTGTGAGATTTAATTCGATTTACTTCGAGACATGTGTTCATAATTTAAATGTTTCCCGCCACTTCGTAATGGCGGCTGACGAGAAGTAAAACAGTCAGATTGAAGAAAGTAGCGTGGGTAGTAGTTAACAAAACCGATCGGTGTAGTTCTTAATCATACCTATCGAATTTTTCATTGTCTAATAGTTTTGTCTTCATATCTTTTCTTATCTTCCTTTTTTCTTGTCCTCCAAATTGACGAAGTCACACGAATTGAGAGGGAGAGAAAAAAAAACTAGAGCCGAGGGTAGATAGAACTTTTTCCGTCATAGTTACCTGCTTAACTTTTTCTCGTACAAGACGAAGGAACGAAGAATAGTAAATAAGATAAAAGAAAAAGAAAAAAAAGAAAAAAAGAAGAAGAAGAAGGATGACGAGAAGAAGGGAAGGCGTCGACTTTGCGTCGTAAATAAAGAAGGTGCGCGGTAAAGCAACATACAGAAAGAGAGCGAGAGAGAAAGAGAGTGGCGTGTGAGCGAGTGAGTGAGCGAGTGATTGAGTGAGAGAGTAAGAAAGAAGAAACGCGCGCGTGTGCGAGAGGGAAAGCTGACTGGGTTGTCGCTAGTGTGCACGAGGGTGATTGGTCAGTGATCGGCTATTATGGCCGGCGATTGGCGCGTGCGGACATAGCGCAAAGTAGGAGCGCGTAAGAATAAGTAAGTAAGGTCGAGGCGAGTGTGCGCGGCAGTCACTCGCGGACTAGAAGAGTGAAAAGAGCGAGGAGAGGAGAAGAGAAGAGACGGTCGTTCGTTCGTTCGCTCGCTCGCTCGCTCGCTCATTCCTAAGTTCGTTCGTTTGTTCGTTTTTTCGTTGGTTGATCTCTGATCGGTGCCGCGTTGCCTTGTAAGGCGGAGGAGAGTTGGTGTGGTACGCGCGTGGACATAAAATAGTGTGTGTATATGTGTAAATCGTGTGCGTGTGTAAGTGTAAAGTCGCGTCCAAACGCTTACCGGATGTTCTAAAGACGACAACAACGACGACGACGACGAGGACGAAGACGACGAAGAAGACGAAGACAACGAAAACAACGACGAAGACGAAGACGAAGACGATTACGTTGGAAAGGGAAAGGAAGAAGACGGAGACGAAGAAGACAACGGTGACTATTTTGCGAGGATACGAAAGCACGAGGACGATAAAAAGGAAAAGGAAGAAAAGAATACGGAGGACGATCGCTGCCGCCGTCGCCGAGGAGGGCGCGCACGGTTTTATCCTCTCGTGGCAGCATTAGTCTCCAGATAGTAGTAGTGTAGTAGTAATAATAATAATAGTAGTAGTAGTAGTAGGAAAACAAAATAATAATAATAATAGTAAATAGTAGGAGAGATATATTGATAGGAAAAGAAAAAAAAGTGCACAGTGTGTGGTTGAAGAAGCGGCATGCATGCTGGCTCTTAGATTAATGATTTGAAGGCAAGATTTCATTGAAAGAAACACAACTGCGCGTATTCACGGGAAAGAAGACGGTGTACGAGTGACGGAGGTGCGAGCAAGAAAGCAAGATTTGATAGAAAGAGACGAGGAGTACTTTGAAAAACTAAGAGAAGGGGAAACAAGAGCGAGAAAGCGAGTGAAGAAAAGGCAGACAGAGAGAGAAAAACGAACGAGAATTGTCGAACGTTAGTACGCAGAGGAGACAAAGGCCACGGTGGCGGCGGCATCGACGACGACGACGAAGACGACGACGACGGTGATGGTTATGGTGGTGGTGGTGGTGGCGGCAGCATAACCTCCAAGTACCGACGAACCTGAGCTTCGTGTCGCGCGCGCGTCACGAAAAATATTCCCCCCTCTCCTCCTGATCCTCCTTCTTCTCCTCCTTCTCTCTTTCTCCTCCTCCTCCTCTTCATCCTCCTTCTCCACCTCCTCACCTCCTTCTTTCCGTTCGTTGCGTTTTTCGACGACGGCGAGTAACGTTGTTCGTCCGTAAAGTAAAACCGTGAATAATAACGTTTGCATCTCTCAAAGGTATACGACGTACATATATATATATATAAAAATATATAAAAGAATATAATACCTTTTTGCCTACATTGTATCCCCCAACAGTTTTTGGGCTTCCATAAAGGCAAACGCGTGCGAGCGAGAAAGAGTTAAGGATAACACGTGTACGAAACGCGGTCTCGTTCTTATTATTCGATCGATAATTAATAACAACAACAATTTGAATAAATTTAAAAAAAAAGGATAGTACTAGCGCGTATAAAAATCCGCGTGCCGGTTATAATATTACAATTAGTGCTTGGCGAAACAGTTAATGGATGAAACTGGCAGGATGTTGCAACACGGAGGATCGGGTGTCGGTTTGATGGGAGCTAACCAAGCTCAAGGGGCCCAAAATACCACAGGCTACGGCACCATGGGACCCGTCGATGGATCCGCTGCTCAGGGTCCCGACCAAGCTGTCGAGGCTAGAAAACAGGATATCGGCGAGATCTTACAACAGATCATGAACATCACCGACCAAAGTCTCGACGAGGCTCAAGCAAGGTTAATAACCTTTTCCTTTTTTTTTTTTTTAATCCTCTTAAGAAACCCTCTATCAAATTTTAAACGGTTTAGGTTTTTAAAAAGTTTGTAGAAATCTTATTTATCATATTTTCGGATTGAGGGGGGATGGATATAACTTTTATTTACGATACGATTAGATCCTTTTTTTTATTAGTAGTTTTATAGTATTTAATTAGTTACGTATTGTACTACCTTCGATGATTTCAACGTTGATTGCGAGAACACGCTCGAGAGAATACGATAAGAGAGCCTCTTTATCTGCGAATGAATATTTGCTTATAATCGCTAACGTCACGATCCTCGTATGCGCCGAATAATAATCCCTCGGAAACGATTCTACTACGATCACATGATGTGTTCTCTTCTTCATTCTCTCATTCTTTATGTATATATATACATATATATATATATGTGTGTGTGTGTGTGTGTATTTATCTCATTTGTTTGTTACAGGAAACACACACTTAATTGCCACAGAATGAAACCTGCCCTGTTCTCGGTACTCTGCGAGATCAAAGAAAAAACAGGTGAGCGATTACCCCCCCCCACCCCCCCTTTTTTTTCCTTTCTTCCTCTTTTCTACAAAACATATGTATTTCATTCTTTTATTCATTAACGTACGTTCTTGTCTTCCTCTATTTTTCATGTTACGTGTTATATATGTCGATATTTTGATAATATATTTTGATTAATCTTTACGATATTCAACGAGAATTCGTTCGTTTTCGACAATCAAAGGAATCGTTTTAGTTGTATTACTCGTAATTCGATGGCGCATAATTTTTGTCTCGTTATTTCTCGTTTCAATAATAATTATCATCGTTACGACGGTCAACAGATGTTTTTATGTATGTCTGTTGGTGGCTGCACATATATTGAACGTAGAAAATCGCGTTTACATGCTTTGCGATAACGTTCACGATAAGTTTGCCAATTATTCAATCTAATACGCGATTTAATTTCTTGAATATTTTTCTAATTACTATTTCATAGATATTTTATCGGTTGAAAAAATGTTCACCAATGTTCAAAATCTTCTATCAAAAAAGAAATAAAAATGATGATTTTAAGAAATGATGATTTATTTGGATAGAAATATAAATAAACGTTTATGCAAAAGTTGATGATATTCTTGTCTCTTTAATAATACTTCTGAATGATTGAACATTAACATTGATTTTATTTTTGAGGAATGGTTGTATGTGTAGCTCTAGGTTAGCTAGCTAACCATCTACAACGAGATTATAGATATTTATTATGATATAAAATCGATTCGATCTATTTTCTTTATTTTCTAATAAGAAAATCTGTGCACGGGGCTAATAAGAAAAATGGTGTTCGTGCAACAACTGGTACTTAAACGGGGATTTACTTTGTCGCATATTTACTGAGGAGAACATTGACGATAACGTGATTATCGTTTTACTGTCTCGATCCTTTTCGAAAAGATGTGCTGATTCTCAGAGAGAAAGAGAGAGAGAGAGAGAGAGATAGAAATAAAAAGATCCCTATCTCGAGAAGAAAAGGAATACGTCGTTTGGACCCCTTCCCTATTCTCTCTCTCTTTCTCTAGTTGCACCCTTACGAAGCAACCAACCCCTGCGCGCACCCATTCGAAACTCGTAAACATAATTTTTATGCGATGTTTGGATTACTTTTACGCGCGGATCAAGAGACCACGAAACGCGCAATTATTTTTCGACAATTCTGCGGGTGTGCTCGAAATGAACGAAAATAGAAGGGGAGGCTTTGTTTTTCTCCCTTTCGTTCCGAACCTTTTCCTATGAGTATTGCCAATAGGGTGGAACTAACCGTATATATCGCCATATTTTATATTTCTATTTCTATTTCTATTTCTATATCTTCTTTCTTTCTTTATTTTCTTTTATTTTTACGCATAGCGTAAATATGTGTGTGTTGAATATTGTAGTACGAACGATTCTTCTTTTCTCTCTTTCTCTCTTTCTCTTTCTCTTTCTTTCTGTCAAGTGGACGGTTTTCTTGACGATAATATTCTTTGAAGGAAAGATACGTGGAAAAATGTGTACAGTGCGCGCGCGCTGTAAGCAAGTAAGCTGGAAAAGTGGTGTGGTGATAAAGATAGATAGATAGAGAAGAAAGAGAGAGTTGGAAAATGTAGTGGGAGACTAACAGAGAATACGGTGGGAGAAGAAAGAAAGAAAGAAAGAGAAAGAGTGAGAGAGAGAGAAACCGTGGTGGTGGTTTGCTTGCAGAGTTTATGGGCAATGCCTGACGAGGCAGTGAAAAAGTACTAAAACCAAGAGGAACAGATAAACGCTATGTTAAGCAGACCGTTTTACCAGCCATTTAATATAATCGGCTTTCTCGCGAAGCCTTGGATAACTTTGGATCAGGGCCGTACGAATTTCGATCTATTTCTCTTACTTTTATTCTCTCTCTCTCTCTCTCTCCGTTATTTTTTTTTCTTTCTTTATTTCTTCTTATTACGATTTTCTATTAGAATTTCTTTCGATCGAGTTTAACGTCGATATTTATTTGATTTATTCAACGACAACTACTCTCGACGACGAGTGGTCTCGATTTGTCACGGTCGAGTTGCTTCGAGTTTCTTCGTTTGACATTGCCACTGATCTTTTTCTTTCGTCCGAAGTATAGAAAGAAAGAAAAAAAAAAAAAGCCGTTTTGGATAAACCCTCTTTTTCTGCTTCGTCTCGATTTCCCGTGGGAAGAGGACCACGATAGAAAGATACTCCCCCTCGAAATACATGGGATTTTCTTTGGCCTACCTTCTCGAACTAACTTCTAATCCCTTTCTCTCTCTCTCATCTTTGATACCCTTACTCCAGCACGAACTTTTCTTCTTTTTTTTTTTTTTTTGGTTGGAACGGTAGGAATGATACTTCACCTCCCCAAAGTTCACGAGTTCACGCTTACGCCTCGGTGCTCTTTGATCTCGATTAACAAGAAAAGAAATTAAAAAGGAGAGACATAGACATAGAGAAAAGAAATGTAATTGTTAAATTTAATTATCAATATTCTAGTCCAAAAAATATATTAATATATAAGTCTCTAAGGGAATTATAGACGGTTAATATGAAATTTTAAAATTTATATAATATTGAAATTTTAAAATTTAATTATCATAACAGGACACACAGATAGAGGACATCATAATACGGAAGATACCTAGATTATTAAACACTAGAATCAGTATATGATTACGTGTGATAAGATAAGGTTGTTTTAGGATCAAATTGTATTGTAATATGTTAAGTTTTATTGAAATGTATGACTCTGTAAAAAAGATAATATGTATTGACGCGTGAACTTATTGATCAAGGTAAAAAATTAGAATTTATTGTAATGTTTTATATTTATTAACAAGTTATAATAAAATTTTTAGTTGCTGATGAAGTCCCCAGTAAGGGACGAAACGTACAACTAGTTCAAAATAAATTGTTCATCAGATTTATTAACCGTCTATAATTCCCTTTGAGACTTATATAGTAATTGTTAAAGTACGTAAAAGAAATGGGGGAAAAAGGAGGGTAAAACATACGCGCGAACGTGGAATAATTCGATTTGTTAAAAAGCAAAGAAGAAGAAGAAAAAAAAAAGAAAAAAAAAAAAAAAATAGTCGCATCGCGCTAGTTAACTCCGATTTCGCGGCTTTAAAACAACGTTAAACGTGTGGTCGAGTTTCGGTGCAACAATTAAAAATCCATACTCGATTTGGAATACGGCCAACGGTAATTCTATTTCGTTGTAATAAGCGTACGCGATTTCACTTTTTCTCCCTTTACCGTTGACACTTTTTTTGTTTTCTCCTTTTTTAGTAAAAAAAGGAAAAAAAAAAGAAAAATAAAAATGACCAATCGAGGTCATCGTACTCCGGTGATTCAGATTTGTTCGATCAATAAATTGAATCGATCGATCAGTAACGACGTTTAACGAGCTAATTGGACGGGTTACTGGTTTTAATTAAAAGCAATCGAAAGACGATCTTGCGTATTATTATTCCTTCCTATATCTCGATTCATTCGATTATTTTTATTTCTTTCGTTTATTTTCTCTGTGTGTGTGTGTGGTGTAGGTAGTATCAGGTTCTGATCCTTTTCGAGGATCCTTCGAAGAGAGAACTTCTCGTGTTGCTGGACCAATGAAAAAGAAAAAGAGAACTCTTCGTTTCGCATTCCTTTACGTATCTTATTCGTTTTTGCGATTTTGTTCTCTTTGCGGCACAACTTTCCCTCTTGGCGGCTCCCTAAGGGCTCCGACGGTCCTTGGGCCCTACTATATATATATATACGTATTCCTACACCAATATATTGTTGGGGAGATCATTATTTGCATTCTTTACGACCATTTCTCCTTCTTTTCTCTTTCTCTTATTCTTTGTTGTTGTTGTTTTTTTTTTGTTTTTGAGAGAGAACTTTGTCGCCTTTTTATCTCACGTTGGTGGTGTCTTTCAAAAGATACCAAAAAAGTTGATAACGTTAAAAAACCAATCGAAAGATTTTTTTCCTTATATTATTACGACGTATCTTTCCTTTAGCTTAATGAACATCTCGATAACATATTTTGTAATATTATTAATAACGGGAGGTTATAGTAATCGTTACATCGTTTAGTTATTATCGTTAGTTGCCAATAATTATATATTTTCTGGTATTTTTCTTTTCGTTAAAATCGTTTTCTTATATTTAAAACATCTTACAAGATGGCCACAAAGTTACTAGATCGTTTAAAAATATAATAAAGCCCATTTTACGTATTACAAGTTAACGC